ATTTTCATAGATCTTTGTTCAATTTCTTTGTAAAATATGTACATATATATAACCATCAAATACCACCATTCATTGAGATTTTAAGTTTATTATTTTTATGTTAAATTTATGAAATTCGACCATCTAATGTTTTAATTTGTTTTATAGTGATTCATAAGTTTAGTCGTTGTCGTTTGCGATATATATATAAAAGTGAGACAAAGCTAGAAGAAATCATTTTGAACTCGGTAACAATGCTACAAAATGGAAAAAAAACCTAACATTCTTATATCACTTACTAGGCATCTTATTTTATCTAAATAATCTAATTCTATTCAGTCAACCGTATTTTCGACGTCTATATTATCATTTTCTTGTACTTGATACTCAATATATCTTGTTTTCATTTTCTTTATTACCGTCTTACATCTTTACCATTTGTATTCTCAATTCCTCTTTCTTTTTATGCTTCTTTTTATCCTTTTATCCTTTTATCCTTCTTTCTTCTTACGGTTTACATGCACTGCCAATGTCTTTAATATTGACAAACTCCTTTTGTCACCATCTTTCACACATAGTAGGTTCTAAAGATTAATACAATTACATAATATGTCTCTAATCATCAGTGTGAAATCATATCTTCAAATTTCTTCACTGGTCAAAAATTACATATATGTTCATCTTTTTATTCACCTTCTATCTATCTTTCTCTTAATATACCTTTATTAATATTATTAAAACTTTTATCAAACTAATAGTATATGTCCGATCATGCGTTCTTCTCCGCTGATGATTTTATGATATATTTTTTGAATAATAATTTTTTTCGTCATCCCTGTATCTAATCTTTACAATTATCTAATATTTCATTCTTATTTAAAAATATTTTCATAATTGTAATTTTAATGATATACTTTTTCATTGTAATTTTAAAACTTGTTGTACTTTTTAACAAAATAGATTATTGAACGAAATTTTCTCTCTGTTATCATATATCAAACTAAAATTATGAGAGTGTTATATGTTTTTAAAAAAAAAAAAAAAAATCAAATAGGACCGGCTTAGATTAATCAAATCAAATTGAGATCAAACCAAAAAGGTAATAGAAATACAATCAAACTTGGCGACGTGATACACACAAAATATATACCTCAAAAGTGTGTAATAGATGCAAACCTCGAGTAAATATATCTAGAATCAAAGCCACATAGACAATAAAAAAAAACAAAATCAATCAATCTTTTAGCAGAGAATAATGAACTACACTAAAAACCAAGCGAGGATGCAAAAACTTAAAAACAAATATAGATATATATACAGACAGCTAGTACTAAGAAAAACCGTAACAACATAAAACAAAAGAAGAAGATACTTCGAGACACAGAAAAGTGGAGAACAAAACCTATATTTATACCCACAATCCAAGTTAGGATTTCAGCTATTTTTTCTTCCATAAATACCTGAATCAACTAGCTTTTCGAAAGATAAAACTGATCAACGATATAAGTTTAAAAATCATAAGAAATCTGTAATCGGTATTTCGATTGTAAATCAAACCAATCAAAAAAGAAAAAAAAATTGATTTCGGTTTGTTACGATTCGGTTTAAATAAATTTGATTCATTTTAAGTGGATTTTAAACCAATCAAAACAAAAAATTGATTTCGGTTTATTACAATACTGGTTCAGTTTAAATAAACTCGGTTTGTTTTAAGAATTTAAATTAAACTAGATTATACCCCTTGCGTTTACACAGGAAAATTATTTTTTTAATCTCATTTTATAGTATTATTTTTGTTTTTATAGATATTTTTTTAATAAATGATACAAATTTATTTTTGTGTTTAAATAATTTTTTTTAAAAAAATATTTATTTTTAATAAATTTGACTATGATTATAAAAAAACATAATTTTAACTCATCTATTCGATTAATCGGAAAAAATTATGAATATAAAAATATAATTTTACCTCATCCTATCATATTACCACATACTATAACTTTTTTTATTTTAAATATTTAAATTTTTTAAATAATTGATTATAAAAAATATATTATAATATATTGTTTATCATCTTTATCATTATGAGAATATTATTTAGATTTAGATATTTATAAATTAATATCTTATTTACTATTTTTATAAAATAATGACAACTGTTTTTATAATTTTTATAATTAAAAATATATAAACTAATTAAATTAAATTTTATAAATTTTCGGAATTAATTAAAGATAATATTTAAATATTATTTATTAATTTTTGGAAATAAATAAAAGAGATAAATAAAATTAAAGATTTTGTTTGGCAACAGAAATATTAATTATCTAAAAATACAATAGTAGAAAACTAAAAGAAATCTATTTGGACACAAAAAGTGCTTCCCTTTTAATAGTATAGATAACTCGATAATGTTAAATTTTCTAAATCAGTTCATTTTAAGTTAAATTATGACATATAAACCGAATTTAGGCAAGATTCTTTTAAATAATAACATATAAGCAAAATGCTTTAAAATTCACTATGGAACTGACACATCAGCGAATCACATAACAGTTAAGTGTATTGAGCTTGTAATTTTTGCTTTCAAAAATCTTTCCAGATTTTGAGCATAAAAATTCTTTTAACTTTATTGAAAAAATGCTCTAGTCCTTTATGAACTCAGAGCTCATGATTATTCTTCATACATGAAATTTAGATTCTTGCCAAAAACTACATAAATTACCTAACAATTTAAATTTCTTACATAAAATATTTAAAAACAGCTAATTTTACCGAACAGTAAAAAATGTGAATTTTCTATCAACAATTAAAGACGTGACTGACATGTGGCATACTGATTTGGTACGATATGTGATTTGGTTAATTTTTTATTAATTTTAGTTCATCAGCTCAAAAACAATGTTTTGTAGTTTTTTTATTAAAAAAAAAAAAACTCTTACAGACCTAACACACTTTACCAACTAAACATATATAGAAAGACATGTTGAATGTATTCGATTAAAGAGAAAGAAGGAAGCACGTGAGTGGATCAGGCGTTAAAGGCGGCTAAGGACAGGAGGAAGAGCGGGTGATCGAGACTGGGCTGGTCCCTGAGATCGACGCCTCCTTCGCCCTATATGACGCCACATATTTTAAATTCCACAATATTAATTATACATCAAATCATCGAAACTTTTTACTCAATTTATTTATTTATTTTAATAAAAAATATCATCTCAATCATTGGTGAGGAAATAGAAGTGGCCAATTTAATCATGAACTAGATTCTAACTCCGTGCATCCGCACAGAAATATTTTTTATTATTTAACGAATTTTATAATATAATTTGTATTTTTGAGTTTAGATATAATTATTTTTATAAATATACTTTTTAATAAGTGAAAATATTGATTTTTGTGTTTAGATATATTTATATAGTATTAAAATTAATAATAATTATAAAAATATAATTTTAACCCATCCACTAATATTAATTCATAATAAACTATTATAAAAACATAATTCTAATTTTTCCGTTCATATTACCGTATAATATAATTATTTGTTAAAAGTTTAAGATGTATTAACAGTATTATTTAGCATTATAGTTTTCTAAAATTTAATCAACGAATGGAGTGTACAACTGGTTTTTCAAACCACATTATAGTGTATGCAATAAATTTTAATTTTTTATGTTTTGATTTTGTATGAAAAATATATTTTCGATATACATGTATAATTCAAAATTAGTGATTTTAGTTACCAAAATATTTTTAACCCGGTTTTTCATATATATTTTTAGTTCTATGAATTTTCAAAAATATATTTTTAATATTTAAATTATACTTTTGAATTTTACTTATTATTTTGTTATTAATTTGTAAATTAATCATAATCGTAAATATATTATATAAGCAACAAAATATCATATCATTTACATCATTATAAATATTTTATATTTCAAATATGACCATTATTTTTCATATGTGAATTTTTTTTTCAAAAATTCTAGATATTTTTGATAAAAATGTTTAATAGTATAGAAATTATTTAAATTAGAATCTTTAAATCAAATCTAAATTTAAATCTGATTTATTATTTTTAATCAAATCAAATCAAATCTAAATTACCTATATTTAAGGAACTCTAAAAATATTTAAATTAATAACTAATTTTCGAAATTAAATATAAATAATTATTAAAATTATTTTTAAACACTTTAAAAAAAATTAGGAGTGTTTGGAAGCAAATACTAAATGTGCTTCTGTTTTAATATAATAGATTGGTATAGCTTAACTGACGTATCAGTTAGTCATCTGAAGAATATTTTACAAATTTCAATTCGAATAGCAAAGGTAAAAAATGTCAAAAAAGGGTTTGAATTTTTTTTGGTATTATTGTCAAACGATTGAATCTTATTTATACAATTGTATTAACACTAATGACTAATTATATTACAAACAGAAATATCGTACAAAAGAATACCGTGTGAAATGAATGGCATGTAAAAAAAGATTAAGCAGCCTAATCAACGTCACACCAAGCAATAACATGCAGATCACAAATAGCTAGTAGAGAAGCATCCCAATGTGTCAGTCTAGGCAAGTTCATAAACTACAAAAGAATGTAAACACTATAGGTGAGATTTGATGGTGTCATTTACCGATAGATTAAGCGCTGATAATCTGAACGAGCCCAAGAGAAAACATATTCTCTCAGTGCATCCCAACTTAGCTAACAAACAATGGATAATTTGTTTCAAACAATAGTGAGACTTATGAAGGCGACATTTTTTTAAACAACATGAAATGCAAAATCACTGAAGAGGTAACATAAAATCGATCAAAATTAATCTTTTTTTCAAAAAGAAAATATCAAATTATCGTAAAATTATATAATAAACATTAACGAAAATTTTGAAGTTTTAAAAGAACTAGTCGATAATACTTTCAAAGGATGGATTCAACAAGCAAAACACCATACAGTTACGAAATTTGGATGGCGAGGGAGGGTCTACGCGTTTGAGTGACGCCTCTAGTTTTTTATTTTTTTTCTACTTGATTATAACAAAGTCCAAAGGACAAATTACAAAAAGGTTCTAAGGCCCATAACCATTCAAAAGTTAAGCCCAACATAAACCCATTCAAATTAAAGGATAGCGATTAACAAAGATCAAACACATGTAACACACGTGGTAGGCTAAGGTGAAGATTAGGATGATACTGAGAAGATACCGCCGACAAGTAGCCGAACAGAGCTTCGCCGAAAAGCAGAAATCCGATGAAATCAAACCATACAAGTTGAAGAAATCCATCAGATCAAAGTCATCTTTATCAAAAACCATCATGTAAACTCCTTTCACTGCAAGATCACGATTAACCAAAAGTCTTCTTGCATCCGTAAGATTAGCCACCGCTCATCTCAAACTCGAGACCAAATACCCTTCACCTTCAATAAGGCTCTTTAGAAAGGACTTTAGGGAGAAACAACTCTCAGCCAAGAGAGGATGATGCCAATTGTTGGAGAAGATGGTGCTATCACATCATCGGATCTGAACTGTAAAAAAAGGAGACAAGTTTCAAAAACAGATACCTTTAACATTATCGCCGGAATAACCAAATCCATATTTCAATCTGTGAAGAATCTTCGCTCCACCAAGGATTAGCAAAACTTAATACTCTTTGATATAAGAAGAACCGATTTTAATATGGCATAAGAAGAGCATCAAAACATAAACCCACAAATACTCAGAAAAAGGTAATTCGCAAAACGGAAAGCAAAAACAATCTAATCAAGCCGGAACTTTATTATCCGATCAAAATCAGAAACAAAAAGCCGATATAATTTGATCGAAAGTACAAGAGAAAAAGCTTCCTCTCTCTGAGATAGATGTGAAATACAAAACATAAAAGGGAGCAAAAATCTCTCTCTACCTCTACTAGTTTTAAAGAGTCGTACATGCGTTATAATCTTATAATTAAATTTTAGACGAAATAAAAAATTCCAATAATTCAACATACTTAATATATCCTTTTAAAAACAAATGTTTTTTTTCTTGTAGGGAAAAAACCTTAAAAATACCTGATGTTAACAACATTTGCTATAAAAAAACCCAAACTATTTATGCTCCCTAAGAAATACCTAGATTAGTTATAAGTTCTGATTTAATATCCAAACATTCAAAATGTAAAAGTTTGACACCCTCGATTTCACAGAAGTTAACAGAGTAAACGGAATCGATCCACTGCGTTAATTTTATTAACATATGCTAATTAATCATTCTAAAATTACATTTTTACCCTTAAAATCTTCAAAGGAGAAGAACAACCCCTAATTTCCCCTCCTCCTTCATCGACATTCATCTCTTCTTTTTGATTTTAAGTACCCTGAGATGAAAGCCATAGACATTGACGAGCCCCAAATCTGGGTTTCCTTTCTCCTTGAAGCTAGCTTTCATTGAGATCGATTCAGCGAGTTATAGAACTCTTCCTTTTCGTTCATCTTAGAACTCGCAACAATAACAAAAGAGAAGGAATACGCAAAAGCATATGTGTTTCGCAGAAGAATATTCAACACTAGAGCTTTGAGATTTCCCTAAAATCAATAAGAAAAGATGAATGTCGATATAAGGGGAAAATTAAGGTTTGTTCTTCCCCAAATTGATTTTAAAGATTTTTGAGGATAAAAACGTAAATTTGCAAGAATTAATTTTTATATCTTATGAAAAATTAACACAGTTACCCGATTCTGTTAGCTTTGTTAACCTCTGTGAAATTGAAGGTGTCAAACTTTCACTTTTTGAATGTTTGGGTATTAAATTAGAACTCATAAAAAATTTAAATATTTCTTAAAAAACATAAATAATTTGGATATTATTTTAGCAAATGTTATTAACATCAGGTATTTTTATGGTTTTTTTCCTTTCTTGTTCGTAAAGACAACTATTTCTTTACTCGTCTCTTTTCTTTGGTTTTTTTGTTTGTTCCGATCTAATATGAAAATGCAAATAAAAAGTTGGTGGAAATATAAAAGTAGAAGATGATTTGTATGTGTGAATCGTGAAACTTGCTTTTTTATTTATTTATTTAAGCCGCCAATGGTTTAAGAGTGTTTGACTTGATGACCGGTGAGGAAGAGTTTTAACTTGACCATTCACAATCCGAAATTACACATCCTCGTTCACATTTTAATTTTCGTCCCGCACGTGAACAATGTCGGTTTAAATCTCCTGAAACTTTAGAAATATCTAATAGCCGTATAGGAAGTGGGATTATAAAAATAACCCACACGGATATTAATGACTGCAAAAATTAAAATTTTAGTATTAATGACAAAAAAGTATTAATGACGAAAGGGATACATTTTGTAATAGAAGCAGCCAAAAATTTAAAACAATATATCAATGACAAACGTACTGATATATTAATATCCCGTAACAGTTTTTACCAAACTATCACCTAAGGAAAATAATCATTACAAGTGAACATTGGTTGTAAGTTATTTAATATACATAACTAATGTATTTGACATTAGAATATTCAAGAAGCGACAAAAAAAAATATTCAAGAAATGGAAAGTAGAACAGTGAACAGCTTGGATTACATTATTTGTATTGACAAACCAAACCAACTTCTTAGGTTTTTTCCTCCTTGATATGTACATGTATGTATAATAGAAGGGAAACTAATTGAATTTGTTATACTTTAAGGCCACAAAGTAACGATAACAAATTCAGCTACTTAGCTACATATACAACATATACATATACCCATGTATCATTACGTTTTCTATATACACCAAAGTAATTAATTAATACACATTTTTTGGTCAAGGAATAGTACACATTTTCATTACGTTTTTGCCTTTTTGGGTGGATGATAAAGCACATAATTTTACATCAATTGCGGTTAGAAATACTAACATGAATCCTCACTGTCTTCTTTGTCGAGCAGCTGTCCTCTAATCCTCAACGTCTTCGCATCTTCTCCTTTGGTGTCTTAACGCAAGTCTTACACCTACTAACTCTTTCAAATTTTCTAGTTATATAGTAGATCTGATGTTTGTTTTCATATAAAATCCTCAATCCTCTTACATATAAAATCTCATACCTCTTCACCAGAATTCGTCGTTTTTAATTTGTTTAGTTAGTTATTGACTCTTTTCATAAAAACAATCGTTTGCTTAGAGTATGCGGTTATGTAGTAGATGACTATTTTTTCATAAAAAAAGCTGTATGCATTTAAGATGAATATCATCTCACTCCGAAATTGTAAGACACTATGGACGATACTTTCTATGGTTGCACCAAGTTGAAGGTAATAGACATATACCAACTAGCCGCCTATCACTTCAGTATAGACGTCCATTGTAATTCTAATTTATTTGTTTGTTGTGTTCATATATTTATAGTAGACGTCTACTAATATATGATTATGTTTAAAATGTAGGTGGTTGTTTTCGGATACGATGACTATGAAGTTTACAATAGGAAAGGGGAGAGGTTCGAAGTGAACCTCTTTTCAAAGACATGCAGCTGCAAGGAGTTTCAAATGCTACTCATACTATGTCGTCATGCAACAACAACTTCTTCTTACAGCAACATTGCAAACGAGAAGTTTGTAGGAGTGGTGTACACAACAAGTTTTCAGAGATCTCTTTATGAAGGACTTTTCCACCCAGTACCATCTCATGTATGTTCTGGTGACTCGAAACTACTTCCCCTATTATTGCGCTGACCACCTGGTCAACCAAAGAAAGTAAGAATTCCATCTAGAGGAGAAATGAAGGTAACATAGTCAACAATTTAGTGTTTGTAATATAGTCAAATTTTTTATAATCAGTCGTAGTTGACTACTTTGTGGTAAAAATATGGTTGATCCAACTCGTTTGTATGTACAGAGACATTCGAGGAAGGCGGCAAGGCATTACAGCAAGTGTCTTGGGACAAGTCACAATAGTAACTCTATGGCCATAGTTGACTATTTTCATAAAAAGTCATTTGCTCAGAATATGTAGTTATGTAGTAGATGACTATTTTCATAAAAAAAAACATCTGCCTCAGACAAACATTCTTTCACTCCGAAAGTGCAAGATATTATGGAAGATATTTTATATGGTTGCACCAAGTTGAAAGTAAATAGACATATACCAACTAGTCACTTATCACTTCAGTATAGACATCCCTTTTAATTGTAATTCTTTTGTTTGTTGTGTTCATATATTTATATTAGACGACTACTAGTAGCTGACTATGTTTAAAATGTGGGTGGTTGTTGTCGGTCATGATGAGTATGAAGTTTATAACAAAAATGGGGAGATGTTCGAAGTGAACCTCTTTTCAAAGATATGCAGCTACAAGGAGTTTCATGTAAGCTTCCGGTGCAGGAAAATAATTACCTAGGCAGGTGTTGTTTAGAACTGTTAGACAAATACAAGTAGATAGTAATCTGCATTAAGTATTAATAGTTGCTTATTTCAATTAGATAGTTACTACTCAAAGTAGATTATTAGTAGTTGTCTATTTTTTATATATAACTCAAAGTTGATTCCAATACTTAGACCATGTACAATGGTTGTTAAATTCAACACCCTCCACCTTAAATTTTAACACTCCACATCGTCTTCAATTTCTTCCACGTAATCATTCAACACTCAATTCAATTTTAACCTCTACAATAGTTTTGTTTAATAAAATTCAACACTCTACTTCATTATATTTCATTTTTTTCTTTTATAATTTTACCTCATTTATAATTTTTTAAATTCAAAATTAAATTATAATTATATTAAAAGAGTTATTATTGTAATCCATTTTATTAAAAAAAAATAAAAACATAAACATGAGTTTATTAGAGAATAATTGAGAAAACAATAATAAAGAAAGAAAATTTTTATGTGTTTAAATTAGATAAACCAAGTCACTATTATAGAGTGTAAAAAATAATAAATTTTGGTAAAAAAATAAATTAATTTACTACAAAATAAATGATTCAAAATAGTTAGTGTTGGGGATAAATTCAATCATTCCTACATGGACGAATCGCGTGCTAGCACATGGCGTCCATGGTTTTTTTGCAGGTACTGCCCAATACAACCTAAGCTTATAGCACCGGGCCTCGAATTATTAGGAGGATGAGAGGCCACATTCTCTATGTCATAGATCTAAGCTTGGTGATCCGAAATGGTCGGGATATAAAGAAGTGTGGTCCACATAGGTATCCGGAGAGCGAAGTCATCCATTCTCGGCATCCCGGTCCTAGTAATCAAGGAAACCGGGCCAGGTATAAGTAGACCTTAATTAGGCGGGAACACTATTCAAATTTCCTCCATTCAATAATAGAAATATGCCTTAGGCTGATTTGATTACCCATGCCCTTACAAACCCACGAGATTTGCATTTAATGTATATTCCTTACTGTGTAGGTGACAGTGAACTTTCGCAGGAGCCATGAGAAAAAGTAGAGGTTAAATGGTGATGGGAATTGGTGGAGAGTGGTGGATGAGGTGGAATGAGTCATGGTGAGGTGGAATAAGTGGAATTGGGTCGGAGGTCGTTTGAACGACCATTAGTCGCGGTCCGAGCTCACGCAACCGCAGGTAGGACCTCTCTGGTCGCAGTCACAAGTATGTGATCGTATGGTTGGCTGCGGTCCAAAATCATACGACCGCGGGTGCTTAAATGCGGCATGATTCTGCTTCTCCTGGTTTTTGCTGGGCCGAGCAGTCTGGAACCAATCCTTCTTTTTAGTTTTTTTCGGTTTTTTTTTTAAATTTTTGGCTTTTATTTTTATTTTTAGGAAACACCTGAAACTAAAAAAAAAAATCAATAGAAAAAAAATTCTAAAGAAAACAATACCTAAGTGGATTGCCTCCTATTAAGCGGTTCTGGTTTAAGTCATTTAGCTCTACTTAGTGTAAACAGAGTCGTTC